CCAGCTCTCAGCCCCACCAGCCACTGACTCTGCACCCAGCCCTACACACACCCTCCTCCCCGCCCCCCCCCACACCTAGCTCTCAGCTTCCGCCCGCCCCAGAGTCCTCCCTGCCTCACAACCAGTCCCAGGGAGGCTGTCAGGCTGCAGCACACCATCTCCACCAGGGGCCGGGCATTTCTGGGGGCCTAGAGGCCAGCTTCCTGGGTTCCTGGTGCCCCCTACTCCATTTCTCCAGAGACCTGACAAAGGGGCAGCCACGCTAAAGTCCCAGATCCGGCCAGGGGCCAAGAAGAGAGCCTGGGATGTCTGGACCTTCCCCGTCCTTGCACCCCTGTGGATCGTCACTATAAGGCCAGTGGCAGACCTGAGAACAAACCCCTTCTCTCCCCCGACACTATTCAGCAGGCCAGCGCTGAGGAGTATGCATCTGGATCTTCTCCACATGCACGCCTCTACAGAGGCCAGGCACATTGACAGCCTGGCTACGGGCTTGTTCCCTGAAGCGGGAGCTGTGATGAGTAGTGGAAAGGGTGATGTAAATTCTTAGATAGGGAAATAGAGACTGCACCCTCTTAAAGGAGCCTAGTCCTCTGCACGGTAGCTCTTGGATCTCCTGTGGGGAAGGGGGAAACAGCTGAGCTCTGCTCCTTCAAGAAATCACAATGGTTTTACCCCGTCTGTTCCTCAGCTTATTAGCCTGTAAGAGGGACACTAAGAGTTGGTCTACGCTACATCTGCCTGTCCCCCATGGAGCTAAAGATACACAACCTCAGCGATGTGATGTTGACGTACTTAGAACGACTCAGCACAGGGGCTTCCAGGCAGTAAGGTTGGTGGCTGATGCTCTCTCATCGATTCCACCAACTCTTCATCCTGGTGGAGCACTGGTATCGACAGGAGAGCACGCAGAGATTGATTTATCACGTCTAAGCAGACGCCATAAATCAACAGTGAGTGGATCAATCGCTGCAGCTTCTATCCACTGGGCTGTGGAGACAAGCCCTAATACCAATCTCCCTAGAGTGTCTTGAGGTTGACTTCAGTAGTGCCTGTAAAGAGCTTTGGGACCCCTGGATGGAAGGTTGTAGGTATGAATGGTGGTGAAGGTAGGGCTGGGGGAGGCAGAACTGGAGCACAGGGAGGGTAGGTTCTTGGGGCAGCAAAACTCCACCCCAGTACACCTACAGCGGATGTTCTGGGGCAGAGTGAGGGTGGAGTCATGCCTGGTGGTTTGGGAAGCCCCCACCTAGGATACCTAGCTAGAATTCTCTTTACAGGAGTAGGGTCGGGGTAAGACAAAAAAAGTTGTTTCCAGGCTGTAGGTGCTATTGGGAGAGAGAATAAGACAGAGAATATCTTATTGCCTCTATATAAAACCATGGTACATCCACATCTTGAATACTGCATATAGATGTGGTCATCTCATCTCAAAAAAGATATATTGCCTTTGGAAAAGGTTTAGAAAAAGGCAACAAAAATGGATACGGGTTTGGAACGAGTCCCATATGAAGAGAGATTAAAAAGACTTGGACTTTTCAGCTTAGAAAAGAGGAGACTGAGGGGGGATAAGATAGAGGTCTATAAAATTATGACTAGTATGGAAAAAGTTAATAAGGAAAAGTTATTTACTTATTCCCACAATATAAGAACAAGGTTCACCAAATGAAATTAATAGGCAGCAGTATAAAACAAACTAAAGGAAGTTTTTCTTCACTCAGTGCACAGTTAACCGATGGAACTCCTCACCAGAGGATGTTGTGAAGAACAGACCTTTAATGGGATTCAAAAAAGAGCTAGATAGATTCATGGAGGTTAGGCCAATCAATGGCTATTCGTCAGGATGGGTAGGAATGGTGTCCCTAGCCTCTGTTTGTCTGGAGGTGGGTGACAGGGGAGGGATCACATGAGGATTCCCTGTTGTGTTCCCTCCCTCTGGGGCATCTGGCATTGGCCACTGTCAGCAGACAGGACACTGGGCTGGATGGACCGTTGATCTGACCCAGTCTGAGTGCTGTTATGTTCTTATGTACTAGAACTCAGGAGACCTGGATGCAAGTCCAGTCTCTGCCACAGATGCCCTGAAGGATCTTCGGCAAAACACTCAGGACTTGAGTATCTTCCAACTTTAACTGTGCTCAGTGGGAGCTGCTGGGTGCCATGCATTTGGAAA